TCGCATATTGCTGCACTCCAGGCCCTCACCAACCACCGAGTTAGGCTCAACCCCACCTCAAGACGATCCGGCCATCGCTGCATAATTCTTGTGGACCACCATGACCGACTCTCCACTGCCGCGGATTCCGCTCGACCCGAAAGAGCAGCCTATTCTCGACAGACTGCAATCCATCCGGACAGAGCTCGAGTTGCTGAAGCGCGACCGATCGACTTACTTCAAGAGCCAGGATGTCTTGAAGCTGTACGATCAGGTTATCGAGCAGGTCATAGTTTTGAACGAGATTCGCGAAACGAAGCGTCTTGAGCAGAACAAAGGTATGTCACGTTGCCACCTGCCGAATGTAGCCGCAAATCCGCTGATATCTTCTTGTAGTTGACTACATGCTTGATGATTGTTTTCAGCTCATCTCACTTGCATATCTGACCATCGGAAAGAACCATGAGCCACCAGCAGTGTATGCATCTAACCACTGTTTACTTTGCGTATACTGACCTCTCCGTAGATACTCATACGTCTCAACAATCAAAGTAGGACAAGATATCCAGTACATATAGTCCTAATTCCAAGTTCTAACAAATTTTAGCGCCTCCTGGATCACCTCAAGGAAGCTACATTCTATTCGCAAAAGGACCTTGAAGCACTCGACAAGAATTTGAAGGACTGTCGAGACTATGTCGAGCGAGGCAAAGATCAGTATAGCCCCCACCTTCTCACTCTTCTCGACGCTCGTATCAAGGTGTGCGAGGAGATTCTAGCCGAACTGAACCTCAACTTATCCGAGCTCACCCCCGAGCTGATACCAAAATGGGAGAAGCTGGTGTCAATATTAAGATCAACTTGCGGTTGCAACACACGATCGAAGGTGGGTTGTCTTTGCAAGGCACTCCGCGTATATGCTCACTGAGTCTTAGTTTCCTCATGATGAAATTGAAGAGTACGAGCAGGAATTGATCAAGCTAAACGAAGAACTCAAAGAATACGGAATTCATGCATATGAGACCACCGGTTCAACCGAAGAGAAGCTAGCCGAGATGGTTGATAAAATGCAACTCACCCAAGAAAATCCTGAGCCGGCACCAGAAGCAGAAACTCTCATTGGCACACTGTTGAGGCGAAACCTGCTTTGGCTTGCGCTAATCAAGCAAAAGTGCGTGCCTTCCTGTTCCTTTCCAGTCGTTAGCTAATGCATGTATAGGCAAGGACGCATAGCACCGGCCTTCAAAGATACTTATGACAAGCTCCTCACCATCCGAAACAAGCTTGAAAAGCTTACGCTTACGCAAGCATGGTCACTCCGTGAGACAGATCTTTGGGACTTTCAGCGTCAGCTTGACCGCATAGACGAGGCACGGGTAGACGGCAACTTCATTGATGCACTAGGGCGCCCATCTGAGATCTACGAGCAAAGAGTATGTGTCACCTGTACTATGAGAGCTTGTAGGCTAACATACCAAGACACTACTGTACCTCCTACGGAAGAATTATGCGCTCATCTACCAGTTGCTCTTAACATCCGAGCCTGTCTCTGAAGCATTGTTGCCAATATACAACCAACTGACAACTCTCCGAAAATGTCTTCTCGAAGTGAAGAAATTGGGAGGCGTATCATCACCAAGAGAACTGTACCCGTATAGCATGAAGGTTTGTGTTTCATAATGATACTTCAGTCTGCGTACTAATGTAGGAATAGTTGAATTCAATCGACAATATGCGTGTAGACGGTAAATTCATGGTGGGCGACGAGATACCTGATGGTCAAGGCCGCGTAACACAGCTTCTGGAAGAATGTTTCGAGCTCGCTTATGACCTAAGGAACGACGCCGAAGACGAAAGCTCTGCAGACGCTACACCGTCAAGCGAAAAACCAGAGCCTCTTAGCACTTAATTACTATCTTTCTTCCTTGCACGCAATCTCCAAGGCTACCACTTTCAATATAATCACCTTGTCTACTTCGGCACGTACACCAGCTGGGGAAGGGCTCTGCACCGGAGACGCTTGTTCTTTGGACCCCTGTACTTTACTATCTTTAATACGGCTCAATCATTCTCAACTGCTCGATTTCATCTTCAAGTGGCGTTGGAGGTGGCATATCCGCATCCTTAAATGTTAGGTGGCTGCCATACGATATGCCTAGATCTATTAGCGTCTTTTCAATTTTGATTTGGAAGTTTGTTTTCTTGTCGCTTACAGAGCTCTTCGCCTGCAAGAATGTCTCTCAAAGCTCGGTATATTATAATTTTGCGACAGAGATCTCGCATCCATCCCACATTCTGCTCCTGGGTCGAATGGTTGAACATGCTGCCTAGTCCAAAGACGACTGCTTGCGAAACCTGGTGATTGCCGTGCGCATCTGTTTGGGGCCAATTGCTGGACGGAGTTAGGTCTATATACTTGCAGTCAACTATTGACGTGCCTCTCTAGAGTTGCCGCCGAAGTCATCTAGGGGCTTGTGACATGGGGAAATTAAGTCTAAGTGTCTTCGAAACCAATGCACAGATTGAGTTATGAAGCAAGCATGTACAGGAATCGAAGAGTAGAGATACCTACTAGGTATAGTGATAAAGGCAAGTGTTCTCTATATGCTTCTTATTCTCGTCTATTCCCAATATCAAGACTGGACAAATGTCTATGATGGTCTGTGCAGGAATGTCTTTTGTTGCAAACACACCCCGTCCTGCAAGTTCGCATCAGCATGATTGAACACAAAGTCTATGATGGGACGAAACACATAACTTTTGGGGTGTCAGTCTTGATGACCAGATGTGGACATCGTTGAAGCTGGATATCTTCTTGACCGGACGCAACACCCATACTTTCCAGTAATTTTTCTTTTTGCGTTGGTAATACCAAAGACAAAACTCAGTAAAAACAAGTAATAAGCACAACAGCGCGAAGCGAAACTCTCGGCCCAACAAGTTGATTTCTTATGGCTCGAGCACATGAGTTCACGATATCGGTTAAATTTTATCACCGAGCTAAGTCCGCGCCGGCCCGATGTTTTAGATGCTCTCTGGTGATGCGCTTGCCCCACTTGAGCGTGAGCCTGGCCTTTTGTCACAAGCTCAGTGACCTTGCAACACAACGGCCATCGACATGGCTCAACAACGAGGCCCTGCGATGGGAGACTCTCTCAAGACAGCGCACTCGGTGAGCCTGAAGGTACTACGGTGCGTATCGCCCAGGCAAATGCGGCTCAATAACAATCGGTCCTCGTGGTATCACTGAATGGCCAAAGTCTATATGCGCTTTGTCACCGCTGTTCAAGAGAGGTAGCAGTCACTGACGGTATCAGACTATCTCGACCGATGCTTGCTACACAGCATTCACTTCCAAACTCGAAAGATCTGGGTATATCGCCACAAGCCTCGCTCGCCTACCCTTCTCAGCGAAATACCAACGATGCATTCATTCTCAGCCCTGTACTGAACCTCCCTGAGGCGTTTGGCAGTGCCTATGTTGGCGAAACATTCTCCTGTACACTATGTGCAAACAACGAGCTCGATCCATCAGACAGTACAAAAGCAATTAGCGGCGTAAGGATACAAGGGGACATGCAAACGCCTTCAAACCCTACTGGCTCACCACTGGACCTGACAGGCACACCAGACGAAGACGCCAATACTTCTCCTGGACCAGGCGAGTCGCTACAGCGAATCTTAAGATTCGAGCTGAAGGAGGAGGGAAATCATGTATTGGCAGTGACGGTCACATATACTGAAACAGCTTTAGGAGAGGGAAAAGCAGCCAGTGGAAGAGTGCGGACTTTCCGCAAATTGTATCAGTTTGTGGCCCAGCAGTTGCTTAGTGTCAGGACGAAGGCTGGGGAGATGAGCCCGAAGAATGGATCACGCCGATATCTGCTGGAGGCGCAACTGGAAAACATGGGGGAAGCGGCAGTCTGTTTAGAGGTTTGTTCTCCCAGTTCCGAGTGACGAGTCAGATCTACGCCACCTTTTGCCCGATACGCTCGCGGGCGCAGCGACTCAAGCACAAGCTCGATCGTGATCATGAACCGCCATTCCGCAACACATGTGGATCCCGGCGCTATGACAATAGCCTACCACAACCACGATTCCCCGGTATATGCCAAACCTGTACTGATTCTGAATAGGCTGTCGACGTCAATCCGAAACTGCCTCTAAAGTCAACGTCGCTAAATTGGGATATGCAAGCCTCAGGATTCAATGCGCCAATGCTGAGTCCTCGCGATGTTGTACAAGTGGCTTTCTTGCTGACGTACAAACCCGGTGAAGATGAGGAAGTCGAAGGCTCCAAGACTGAAGACGATAAACGAGTCTTGGGCCAACTAGCGATTCAATGGAGAAGCGCGCTTGGCGATAGGGGCTCTCTCAGTACAGGATGGCTGACGGCTCGTCGCTGAGGATACTACTTGACAACAAGGTTTGCAGGACCCGCTCCTAGATGGCCAAGAGTGGTAGAAATGGTCTTGTAATGACGGGATGACACTCGTGCCTACGGTTTATGAGGGGCTGATCTTGGCTATTGGGCCTGAATTGTTTGTGTGTGTGGATGACGCCTAAATGAAGCCAGTCGGAAGACACTCCGAAAAGGTGTAGGGTGTGATTGGATGATTACTGTCGGCTACGATTGGTCACTGAAAAGCAAACAACAGCGCCGCAAGCCATGTACATGGTGTATGTTGTGCGCGTGTGGGTGCCGTCAGCTCCACGGAGGACGTTTTTCAAGCAAGGTAGAGAGGGATTGGGGGGGGGTGAGAGATTGCGTGGTGGGCGCATAGGCATGTATGTATACATGTGACGAGGTAATTTGTAGAAGGGTGTGTTTGTGGTGTGGCTAGCTGCTTCCCAATCGAGGTAGCCGGGATGTGGAGGAGTGTCACTTGGATCGATCTGCAAGCGAAGCGAGTCAAAAGCATGTACGTTTGAACTCAGCCACCTCCGAGAAACCCGAACGCACGTGGAAGCGCGAAATCTATTCTCCTCGAGAAAGCAATATAGGGCTATTGCGTCAATGACTAGCGCGAGGCGTCGTCGTGTGGAGAACCGGCTTCGAGGGGAAAGGATGTGTGGCGCTGATCTTCGCAGGGCGTCATCAGCCCGGCAGGCAGGAACAGGGTACCCCAGACGGTGTTCGGATCCTGGGAAAGATAAGAGACGCGGCCAATGTCAGGAATCACGAACTGGCGGAGGGATCCAAGACGGGCGAAGGATTGACTGTGCTTCACGAAGACGAGGGCCCGCACATGTATGACCTTGAATGTTTGATTATGTCTCGGCTGATAAGATGGAAGAGGGCGAAGAGACTGGGCAGGCAGGGAGGCGGAGGAAGAGTGGGTGGTAGAGCTCGCTTATGTGGAAAGCTATGGGCCGACTACTTTTTGGGGGCGTTGCAGTCTTCAGACTTAAGAGCGGCATTGGGTGCGCCCTGGCCAATTTAGGACGTCGACTCAAGATCGACAAGAACCAGTAAGATCGACGGGTCGAACTGGTTTGATCATGTACGCAGTTGGATAGTATGGGGGGCACAGGCGTATAGGTATGTATGTGTGTACATTTGGAAGGATTGGCAAGGAGGCAGAGGCAGACAGGCAAGAGCCTAAATTAGCCTAGGACCATGGGGGTTGGAAGGGCAACAGCAATGGCAGCGGGATAGATGGCCGGGACACGGGATTCCAGACGGCTCAGGCACGCCTTGTCGGTGTGCAGATAGGATGCAGAGCGGGAGAGGGAGATTTTGTGTACATGTATGTATGTACATATGCACAGGTGGGTGTGTATGTAAGTACACAGTAGGACAGCAACAGGGCGGGCGTGTGAGATGTGCGGCTGGTTGCAGCTGGCAGTGGGGCAGCATGTTTTCTTTGTCTGGGACGTTGGACAGGTTGCCAGGTGGTGTAGCGCATGGCAGCGAACCATGGACGTGGCCAAAGTCGGCATGCCAGGCCCCCCCTATTGCTATTTGCTACTGTCAGGCCGTGGCGGCGGTACGGTTCAGGTAATTGAGGTGAAACGGAAAGGCAGATTGCAAGCACACCATCACGACGGTATGGTGGACGCAGACGCAGACGCAGACGCAGGTCGTATATCCTAATGACAGACAGCCCTGACGGTCGCGCGCGCCGACTCGACGGCCCCTGAACAGACAGCGTTGCACCGGGAATGGCAAGGCAGCGGCAGGCGCAAATAGGCCAAACCAGCCAATAGCAGGTCCAGGGTCGCGGTCGCGGCTGCTGGCTGCTCTCAAGGCGGGAAGGGACCCAGACTGTGCCTTCCCCCTCGGTGTGGGCCCCCCCTGGTCGTGCCTTCCGAGGACAGGGTCTTGCAGCGCTGCACACTGCACAGGGGAGAGGCCGGCACACCAACGCCGTGCCTGTGCACTGTTATGTATCGTCACGGCCGGGCGGTGCAACACACACATACACACACACATATGCCCCTCTTAGAATCAAAAGTATAATCCACCACCACCACCTTCAAGCCCGCGGCTGGCGGATGGCGGATGGCGGCAGTGCCTTGCATGGCCCAGCTGCTGGCGTCGACTGCCGCGGCGGCCACTCGACCATTGCGTGCATGCACACACGAGGTGCAGCAGTCCGGCCTGGCTGGGCCAAGCGCCGACACATGTTGACCGCGGGAGCTGTCAAGCGCTAACCAGCCTGCCCTCCTCATGCCATGGTGATAAGAGCGCAAGACGGGAAGAGGCCCTGCGATGACGGTAAATGGGGACTAGCTGCTGTCTCCATGTAACTGGGGCACTTGGGCCCGCGCCTGTCCTTTTCAATGGCTTGTGACCAGGCGCGCTGTGCATTGAACCCTTCTCCACCGGCCCTCTCCTCATTCACTCTTTTGTGCCCGCAGCAACCACACGCTGCCCGGCCTCACAAAACACCGCCCGCCCACCCCTACAAACCCTCTGCTGCCCCTGCCACTGCCCCTCACCGCACTTCCCACCCTGCAACCCTCATTGCCTTGCCTGCCACGTCTGCCCAGCCAAGTCAAATCCTCTCGTTGGGCTCCCCCTTCGGCGCCGCTCCATCTGCATTTGACACTTACTGTCGCACCACTCGTCGCCTCCATCGCCCATAACTACCCACCACCCGCTCACCACAAACACCCATTGGACCTGGCGTCCAATCCCCAAATGACATAGACGATCAAAAGGCGACCCAACGCCCGACACGCACGCCCCCCGGCTGCCCAGTCCAGTCCAACCCACCTTCTTTCGTCGACGAGTCTTTCTTGGATATCCTATGCCCACTTACCATCATGGCGCCTGCTCCCTCGTCTTCTTCCGCCTCGCCTGACCAGTCACCGCCCCCGCTCGCCGACTACTTCTTCATCTCCGGCATCGAGTCATCGCAGGTTTACGATGAGCGCACCCAGAATAATGTCATAGTCACTTCCCCACTAGCCCAGCCGCCCGTCGATGAGACAATCGAAGAGGACCGCGCCCTCGAGACGGATGCCATACGCCCAACCTCACAGGACGGCCTGTCCCATCGCGATAGGGGGCGGTCAAGGTCGCGGTCACGCTCTGCAAATCGCCTCAGCGAAAACCGCCAGTCAGTCAGCACAATCATTGGACCAGACGCAAAGCCGACGGCGAGCAACCGGAGCAGCGCCACCATCAAGGGCGTGCAGCTTGGCGGCTCTGGTCTAAGCGACCAGGAATTCGACATTGCCCTTCGCAAATTTGCATCTGAGCGAGATTCATTTCTCGAGGAGATACAGTTCACTGCTGGTGTGGCACAACAGTCTCGCTCGACCCCCACTAGGCCGCGCCCGCGACCTCAGCGCGTTTCACAAGCCAACCCCGAAGATGGTGTCGGTAATCTTCGTTCCGGGGTTGGCAGCATCCGACGGCGCATATCCACTATGCAAAGCAGCCTGAAGAGACAGCCGTCGACTGCAAGACAAGGTAAGTTGACATCATACTATGCATCCAAAAGGTCATGCCTGCCTATACAGCTACCTTTCGGCATGATATGATATTGCTTTTTTGCTTTTTTTTCTATCGACGATTGCTGACATGCACGTAGCTTCGATCCGAACCTCCAAACGCATGTCCGGGTACAATTCGGTAATACCAGCACCTCAGCCTTTCGCGCCAGACCCGGATATGCATCCTCTTCTCCGTCGCTACGAGCCAGTCCTACTGGATCGTTATCCGCCAAGGAACATGGTCGAGGAACTCAAGAGGCGCAACCCCTTTCCGGATTATGTACCCATGTTTGCTTTTCCAAATGATGTTAGTGTCGTCTCCTCGGACGAGAGACCAAAGAGCCAATGGCATGGATTTGCCATGACCAACGGAGATGGATCAAAGCTTTACGGCATTTGCCTTATTGTCTGGTTGCCCTTGAATGCCACAGCTGCTGAAGGCCTTGAGCGTCAATGCGAAGAATGGCGAAACCTGCACATGAATCCTGAAGAACGGGAACTGGCGAGCAGCCTGGGCGAGCGTCTTGCACTAGAGCGTGCCAAGTTGTCTCAGCTCCTAACCAAGCTCCCCTCGGTAGCTCCCGATTCTGAAGAACGCGAGAATCTCGACGATGAGATTGGGGCAGTGGAAGAAAAAATTCAGCTCATGACGGACCTGCTCCGTCCGGTACGACATGGTGCAGCCTCCAAGATTGAGGGTCTCACGGATGGAGAGACTGGCCTGTGGATCCCACGCGCCTATGGTGTATTGGGACGAGACGCGAGCCTCACGCCATTCTGGAAAGAGTGGTTAAAGGCAGTCACCGTACCTATGACTACTGGTGCGGTTCTTCGTGTGCCACCAAGCTCACCGCGAGTAGGCATGTGGCAACCGCTCGAACGGTACGTGGTCAATCTATGTGCAGAGGCACTTAGCCCGATTACCTCTGTTACACAGGTCGAATTAGCTGTTCGGGAGCTTCGAATGTATGCTCGGAAAGAAGCCGTCAACGAGTTGCCGGGATCGCGCAACATTGACATTTACGCCCTCTTCCGCTGCATGTCTATCCCAAACATCATCACTCTGTTCGAATTCGTTCTCTCTGAGGCTAGGATCATCCTTCTCTCTTCTCACACCGCCATGCTCCATCTTGCAAGCATGGCAATCACCAACCTACTGTATCCTTTCCAATGGACCGGCGTCTTCATCCCCGTTCTGCCATCTCGTCTCGTCCAGACTATCGAGGCGCCTTGTCCTTACATTGTTGGAATCGAACGTCGTTACGAGCCCGCTGATTACCCAGAGGACGATTATGTATTGGTTGATTTAGATGCCGACTCGATAGTATCCAATGGGCCTCCGCCGCCAGCACTTCCTCGCCAGCAGCGACGCAAGCTCATGTCCTTGCTCCAGCAGTCCGCCCCGCATCATACGCAATACGGCGTGCCCACTGGCCCACCTGCGTATGCGATCGAAGCATTCCCATTCGACACATTCGCATCTGAAAACCCTGGGGTTTTTTCGCATAGGGCACAGCCATTGACGATACAGAATTACGTTGGATTGAACTCGACCTCATTCGGCACAGTTCTTGGGCCACCTAGCTCCAAGCTCCTAATCTACAACGCCTTTTTACAATCAAGTGCTTTGAGTCGCGGAAACGACAGGCCATCAACAGCAACAACCATAAAGTCACACCACTCTCCACCTTCACCCAAGGTCTCTCCTGTTTCTACGGTATTTCCGCCCATGCCAGGCACGCCTATATCGCGCAGCGATTCTGGGTATGCTCTTCAGGCTAACCTTCGGGAGAAGAGATCCGCGCATTTCGACTCCTCAAGTCGGCGAAGTTCATCAGTAAGTTTGGTTCTCTTTATTTTGATCGCCCATGGACTAACGTAGCTAGTTTGGCTTTGAGCGTGTGCCGCCACTTCGGCGCCCTTCTCAGCCGTTCACCGGCCATACTCCCAGTGCATCCACGTCATCCCTGAGTCAAGAATACAAAGCAGCTGGCTCTTCGTATGCGCCGTCAGTGTATGCCCAGTCAACGCTAGCTGCATCAACCATCATGCCTGGTATGGCAGTGCAGCAGGTTCGCAATACCTCAACCACGCAATGGCAGGAGGGACATTGTTTGCAGTGGAGACCCAACGAAGATCGTGCTGTTTGTTCCATCTGCGAAGAAAAATCAGACGATGGTCTATATCGCTGTTCTGGTAAGTTCTGCATGCAAGCAAATTCCGCGAGTGTTTTTTTTAACTGACCTTGTATAGGTTGCAGCACGTATGCCCATAACCGATGTGTGGAATCTATCTGCATTGTATGTCCTACGGCGTTTCGTCCAGATCAGGTCCGAGCATCGTTTGTACGATGCTTCGCCAGCCTATTTTACACTTATCGACGTTACCTGGTTCCGGCTACCGGAGAGCGTAAGAAATCTGGCATGCATTATGAATTCAAAATGGATGAGTTCGTAAAGAGCTTGCCAGTGGAAAACGTGCAGTACATTACTGCACTCCAGCAAACACAAGGTTTGTAACTTTAACCCCCCTTTTGACGAAAATGTCTAACCATACACTAGCTTTCAACGAATTCATCCATGAGCGCGAGAGCAAATCAGCTGATGACCCTACCATCAAACTCTTCGATGAGGTTATTCTAGCGAAGCGCAACCGCGGAAAATCGTCGTTCTTCTACAAATCGAAGGTGGACTTTTTGTCAGATACAACAAACCACCTTTGGCATACTGCCTCGGCAACACCGCCAAATTCCCGCTTTCCAGGCGATTATCGTTCTGTCGTCAGTCGGAGTAAGTTATATCCATGCCCTCACTCAAAGCTTGCTAACAAATGTCGTAGTCCCTGCAAAACTTGATCCCACGCTGATGAAAGAACCGCGCGTCATCCAAGGCGTACCTCGCATACCTCAGGCCAAAGCTCGTCGCAAGCCTATACCATCTATGCTTGGACCAGGCAGCAATGATCCTCCACAGATACATATCTCATGATCTACATTTAAGCTTCCCGCTCTCTATAACGACGAACCCCGACCTCCATGCCTCCTCCTGTCTCGTCGTACTCTTACCTTTTTGCCTCCTTATTATTGTGTTTTACATACCTAGCGACGGAGTTTGTGGCGCATTACAGCATCATTGGTAGGGCAATTTAATAGTCCACTAACCGGTGCTTGCCCCTCAGATTGGATATCTGACGGAACAACTAAACTCTGATCTTCGGAATCATACTGCATTACATGGGATAGATTAGCATGCCTGCACATGGATCGTTATTGGATCCTCTGCCCGTTCTGGTATTTTGTCAGCTGTGGAGTTCTGAATAAAACAAGGCTCCGTATTGCGGATACATCGTTGTAATAGCTTTTTTTGGTCACTAGTCGCCCCAGGTTGGCGCCTCCGGTTCGGGACTGGCGAGCTTCTTTCTTTGTACATTATTGTTTCTGAAGTATACGATAAGAAAACAGCTGGCGGAAGATGTGTGGCGCCTCGAAAGTGCCTTGTGTATCACATAATATCGAACCTGAATCATCATTCTCCCCTTACCTCGTTGACGTCTAGACCAGTCGAGAGAGCAGAATGCACGTCGCCTCTGAGCTATGGCCTCGCGGCATTCGGTCAGCACATCCAATCAGCGCTTGTTTCAAAACTTTGTTCCTGACAAGGCCCGTTAGCGTGGACTTTAAATAGATAAGCGTCCAGTCATCGTCTTGGCAGACGCGCGGTGAGACGAGCCCCTTGGGGACTGCTCTTTGATGACCTTCTCGACGCGCCTCCTGCTTTCCTCCTTCACCGACACTCTTTGTTGTACATTTCGTTCGTTTTTGGATCGCTCGCTCATCCTCACTCGTTAGGCTGCACTATTGTTAATAAAAAATAATCCAACCTTCGACACCAGCAATCCTAAAACAGTCAATAAATATGCTCGGACACACCGTTTTTGCCGCGACTCTTTTCGCGCTTGCTCAATCCGCTGCTACTGCGCCCCCTGCATGTCTTCTTGCGGCTGCCGGCCAATACAATAACCCAGCCACCCTCAAGATGGTATGCGAATCCAAGGACATGAAGTCCTTGGTTGCCACGATTTGTCCCAACGATGTGGACGCTGCAGTGGCCGCGATTGGAGCTATCTGCAATGGTCAGGGTGCAAATGCTGGTAAGTACACTGCTATCTCGCGTTGTAGTCGGTGTGTAGAAAGGACAGAAGAGGAACTGGGACGGCATCAAGATCGACATACTAATACTGTTATGCAGCCTCCAACGTACCTTTGGCGACCGCCTCCCTGACTACGGGCTCCTCCCCTCAGCCTACTGGCACCACTGGAGCCTCTACTTTGGTCCCTCTATACCCCACCGGCTCTGGCGGTCACAACAGCGGAAATGGCACCGCTCCCATGTCGACTGGCGGTCTCATCAGCACAAATGGTACTGCCACTGCCACTTCCACTTCCACTTCCAGCGCGACTGGTACTCCCAAGCCTGTTACCAGCACCACTGGCTCTGCTAGTGTTCCCAACCCCAGCGGCGCCGCTGGCAAGGTCGATCTCGGATTCGCAGCTGTCTTCGCCGGATTCATGGTTGCTGTTTTGTAAATTGGCCGCGGAACGGAGTGGTGAAAAATAGTTTTGTGGAGTTGCGGCGATGTATTAGGAATGATGTTGGGTAGTTCGTCGTACATAATTAGAAACTATTTTGAATAAACATTGAACAAAACGAAACATGAAGAACAAAAGAAATGCATCACCCACCCAACCAGGAAAAGCATGCACAACTAGATGCTAATGTCGTGTTACATGTCGATTCTTTTACTTTCTCACGACAATACATTTGTAGAATGCCATCCAATCGTGTTATTTCCCATCTAGCTCGACCCAACATACCCAACTTTTTCTTTTCTCCGCATACACCCCCTTCTTCCCCAGTCGGAAATTGCTGGAGAATACTAACCCGCCTCTTGGCACGAAACCTGAGGCAAAACCTACCGCAGCCTCCCGACTTTATCGCGAAACAGCCCGGTGTACTCTCATCCCTTGGCGCGCGCCAGGTACAGCATCCTGACTATCGACGCCCCACACACACACACACACACACTCAACGCCTAACCCGACTACTAAAACCAAAGCCCATACCCAGGAGTAAAACAAAAAACGCGGGGCTTAGTCTACCCGACCCGCCATCTCCACATCAACAATAGTCCAAAAAGTCTAGACGCGTCCGCGGAGCCTAAGGTGTAGTAAGAAAAGCTGAGTCGCGCCATGTGGCGCATACATACATACATGTCTCGCATCGAGGAACTACCAAGTCCACCCATCTCCCCTTGTTTTCCTCGGAAACGCGCTTTTCGTCCCAGCAGTTGCGCTTCTTCTAGACGCCGAAATGGGGTTTAAGCGAGGAATGTTGTAGTACGAGGTTTTGGTGTGCGCAGGGAAGAAGGGGGGGGGGGACTTGGACTTGCAACTTGGGGGGTTGGTTGCGACAAGGGCCTTAGGTGTGCTGGACCCTTTTCTTGACTTTTTTTTTTGCTTTTCGATGGGTCCCGCTCGAGTCTGGTGTAAAAGGTCTGCGTGGGACGGCTGAAGTGCCCCTCATTGCCCCCCACACCCACGCTTTTCGTTGCTATCGCAGTTTTTGGACACCACCCCGCTGCTCGCGGCTGCCGATGCTGCTGTGGTCTATTGTCTGGTATATAGACGGTGTAAAAAATTGAGCTTTCATATATCATCTGGCAAGATGGCCGAGCGGTCTAAGGCGCTAGCTTCAGGTGCTAGTAGAGAAATCTGCGTGGGTTCGAATCCCACTCTTGTCAACATTTCTTTTTGCTCTTCTTGAGGTCCTCGTAGTTGTGGTGGTGGTTGTGGTTGATATCCTGTTTTTTTTTCTATCCTAAAAGTTGAGATGAATGGGGGGTCTGTGCGTCGAACCCCTCTCTTATCTCCATCCTATCTTCTTTTTTAAAGATGTGTAGACATCATGGAGACTCGTTTCTGCTTCAGCGAGTGCACTGGCAGAGTATGTAAGCCGTCATTGCTGATTAGTGTACCTTCAGATGGTGGTGTTGCCTGCTTCGAACTTTTTCTTATCGCGTTACCAGTGGATTGTCACCAAGCATACAAGAAAACATGTTCGTCAATAGGTATGTTAGATGTAAGGTATGGGGTGTCACGTTTTTTCGAATTCGTAAGTGCAGTTCTATTGCAATAGTTCCCTAATAGGGGTCTTCCCGTAATCAAATCTCTTATTACAATGGGTTACCAGTTTAGGGATATGCTTATTCTTGTTGTGACATTTCATAAATTGTCTGCAGTGTGGGAATATGCCGATATTCAAAGCATGCGCACAAGCAACAAACATTTGATACTCGACGCATCGTCTAGATAGTCTGACGAGTCTGTTTTGTATTTTGAATCCAGCCCCTGGAATCGAAACACTCAAGTGAACGCTACCATCTCCACAGAATTACGCATATGTGACAATACTGATTATAGTTCTTTTTACTGACTGATACAAAGACATGCATACCTGCAAGTGGTTGGCGTCCTTCTATCTGAGATAATCCACATATTCAAATAATCCTCGAGGTTTACTGGGCATTGTTTGCTGTCCACTGTTAGATGACGAGGCATGCCGTTCCAATCGTGCGCTGTGCTGTTTTCGATTTATTTTGAGTCTTAGTGGAAAGGAGTTCACTTTTGAAATTGATTATCTTGCCAGTCGCGATAGGAGGCCGTTTGCCTTGTGAAAATAGGAAACCTGGTAACAACATCTGATTGGAAATAGTGGTCAGCCGAGCATCTTTCAAATGGCCAGAATATCGTTTCTTTGGTAATCTATCCTGGGAACAGAAAAAGTGTGCCAACGCTGCAGGTCGGGAGCCTAATATTGTTAGAAAGAAGGTTCTGGACGAGACAATTCAGATTTAACCCATGTGATTCCAATAATAGTCTAGAATTGCTAGCTACCTTACATGAGTGCGCCATTTGCATGATAGTGTTCCACGGGTTTCTATATAGCTGTTGATCTACTCTGGTAGAGTTCTAGGCATGTAAAATATTGAATATCCTTTGTGTTAGATATGGGGTTATTAAGTTTAGAACGGGGAGGCCACAGTGTGATGTGCAAAATATCACGTGGCAGGGAATTTACGGTAGTACGGTACGCATTACAAATTTCAGAACTTGTTTACATATCCATTATCCTTGGATCAACTGGACCATATACTGATCTTTTATATAGAGCTGAATACAAATACTAGGTAGCCACCTCTTATCTTTGCTCTTTGATACTGTCATTTGAAAGAGGTTATGCGTTATTTCCTGGCCACGGGCACGTGAACGACTTCTCTCAGCACATTCCAAGATATTAAAAGTAATCGTGACTCAGTTCTTTCCATTTGACCAAGAAACAGAAGGCGATATACATTTGGACCCTTGTTATTGGAAGGAAAGCAGTGAAGATGTCCGTAAAAGGACATTACCACAGGAGCAGCCATGAGGTAATTTACTAAAAATACATTATGAAGATCTGCCTGTAAGACGATGTATGTACGATGTATGATTGAAAACTGGCGTTGCATGATGTCCAAGCTTTTGATGTATCAATATGGGAGTCTGATGTTCGTAATTTAACGAGAGCCACATGAGCCTGCCTTTCGTGCAAACTTGGCAATCGTGATTGGACATTAAAATGACGCAGCAGGTATCAGCGGCCGACTGTTCCAAGCAACAGCTCATTGTCCCCGTAGCAACGTCCCTATCTCTTGTGTATTCTACATACGTTACGGTTCTCAATATGGCACATGTAGTCCTATCGCAATTAAACCAGAAAGCGTGAGACGCTTGAGAGATATACGATTCGATATACCGCTATATCCTTCGAGTCATCCTTCGAACCTCTCCCAAGATATGATAAATCGATAGTCCTAGACTGCAGGATCGACTGCTTATTTGACCAACCACTACTCGCGCATGGCATCAGTTGGCGCTGATAGTCTGTCACTCGCTCATGCCAAAGACAGATGCCACTTCACATGCCAAAAGTACACGTACTTTTCAATCTCAATAGGCACCCTCGCCGTCCTATATATCATGGCCAAACTCCTGTTCTATTCTTTTTTCCTCCATCCATCCATCCATCCATCCATCCATCCATCCATCCATCCATCCATCCATCCATCCATCCATCCATCCACCAACATCGATACCAGAACTAAGACAACTTCAACATAATCATCATTCATCTTTCACCATCCATCACCCATAAATCCTCTTCTAATGACAAGCCAACATCATAA